GCTATTACTATGACTATGTAATTATTTATTTAAATATTGTATAACGAAGGGTTTTCAGTGCCACTTGTATGCACCTTAAAAATTAACTATTATTTTGTACAATTGTACATGCACATAATTATGTGAATGCACATGCATAATAATGCCTTTTGAACTTAAAAGCTTCTCTATTAACTTGTTAGGCTTTCCTTTACATAATTCTCTTTCTTTATTTCAGTCCAACAGTTGGCAAATGACACTCGTAAGCCTCACCAGCAGTTACTACTAGGTAGGGACTATATGCACAGTAAATTATAATATCTTTATAACCTCTCTCTCTCCTCTCTCTTCATGATGATGTTACAGAGTTCAAGTCCATGCTTGCTGAGTTACTAAGAGAGGCTGAGACTAGTGTTGAAAGGAGACCCTCTGCTGATATTCAGTTAGAGAATAGAGATGATGTCATCATTCAGAGCAGAGCTTCAAAGTTCTTTTGTGGAGAGCAGAGAACAAGCAGCCCATTTGGTAATAATAAATACAAAGATACTGTAAATGTACTCTTTTGCATGTAACTGAAGAAACTTCAAGAAAGACTATAATTTTATTATCATTAATTTTATTATTTTTATTTCCATAGATGATAGCTCAGGTAATGAGGCCATTGGACCTGCAGAAGTAGCAATACTACAGTCAATGGTGACTGGAGGACACATGCTCTCATTCAAAGCTCATTTCCTATCAGAACTACCATCACTACTACCACTGAGCAATACACTGACACACCTCAATGTATCATTCAACTGTCTACAGGTCAGTATTATTATCATGCATTATAATAGAAATAATTATCCTGTATATTATATTAATAATCATTATTATACAGGTATTCCCAAAGGACATATGTCAATTGACACAATTAAAAGATTTGAGATTAAGAAACAACCCAATAAGAGAAATACCATCAGGTATAATGTACATATAGATAGAGAGAGATGGAGGGATAATTATCATTAATGCATTTTTCATTGTTAACTAATTTGTTATTCTATAGCTATAAGAAGTTTAAAGTCACTTCAATTATTATCGATACCATTCAACCTACTAACTGATCTACCACAAGGGTACAGGATTAATGTTAATAACTACTGTATTTAATGTTACTAAAAATAGATTGTTTGAGCTGTACTCATTAGAGGAGCTTGATGTATCACACAATAGCCTCCAATGGATATCAAGGGACATACAGCAACTGTGGTAATGAGTGTTACTATTAATAGTAACAGTAATGATTCTATATATAGCAACAGAAGGTTCTAAAACCATTCAAATGTAGTAATAAATCATTTTATTTATAGTAACAGTGCTGTTCTATTTAGTAATAAACTATTCTATTTATAGTAACAGTATTGTTCTATTTATAGTAACTTAAAGAGGCTCAATGTGCAGTGTAATCAGTTATCAGGACTACCAGTTACTACACTAAACATACAATTACAACAACTACTGGTGGATAGTAACTACTTCCATCAGTTACTGTGGAAAGAAAACACACACAACTCACCACAAGTAAATAATAATAATAATAATAATACATGCATACTGTACAGTAAAAAAACCAACATGACTTTAAAAATAAACAATTGTTTTGTTTTTGTTTATCTTCTTATAAGTACTATAAATTATCATCATCATTATTAATAGATGCTGTCTGATATGTGTTGTACAGTATTAGCTAAACACAGTACAGTGAGTGCAATAGAAGAATATCCTCAAGATATACAAGCACTTTTGAACAAGTAAAATAAATAATAATAAATAATAATAATAATTTTTAATTAATAGTCCAACTGGTACGTGTGATTATTGTCAAGGAGCTATGTATGGGTGTGGTCTCAGAGCAATACGATCAATTAATAATAATAATAATAATAATAGTAGACACTTACCTTTCATTCTTCAGTTGTGTTCTGCTCCTTGTCTGTACACAGTAATGAATAATGAACAACTTAAGTGGAAAGATGATCATGTTATTATCCATTAACATTAATTTTAATAATTCAATTAATAATAATGATAATAATAATAATAATAATAATAATAATAATAATAATAATAATAATAATAATAATAATAATCAGAATGTGTGTACGTATAATATCATATTTTGGATCATATTTTGGGAAGAGTCTAGTCAGACCAGACACACTAACAATACCAGTATTGCTAGCAATGTCAACGTGTTCTTTGAATGTCTCTGGAGCAAAGAGAATCCCATTCACCTCAGTTAGTAGTATACCCTTATTCACAACAACCCATACCTTGTCTTCACTTTTAAGAACACTGATCAAACCAGTTGACTGCAATGAATGAAGAGCATCCAAGACGTCTTCTCTCTTATCTGGTATAACGTAATTGTTCTTACCAGCAGAAATTACATCAGAGAGGGTCAGTATATTCTCTTCC